ACTTTATTTCTACTCAGGATCATTCATGACTGAGCACAGTGGATCAAGCAGGTGTTTTGATATGAGTCACCATCTTCCCCCCCCCCCGCATCAACTGCTTACTTTCGGCAGAGACAATGCTGCACCAAGCTCTGAATTGTTTGCCTTGGTTTTCTTTTGAGCTCAAGTGCTGACTACTTCATGATTCTGCTTTGCCCAAATTCCCTTTTATAGTTAAAATTAATTGTATGATTTCCTTATATAACATATTCAAGTATTTTTGATATCTCCCAGTTTTGCTTAAACAAAGGACAGAGTATGTGTGACAGAGATTTATTGTGGCAAAAAAAAAAAGCAAAAAACCATAGTGTGACCATCCAGTTGGAAAAAACAGTTTATCAGATTCCAAGGCCAGCATTGCATCCAGAACCTCTCCTGGCTTGTGCATTTGTGGGACATTATACCACACCTCAGTGTTGCCTATTTCAATTTCCCATTTTTCTGTTGCTGCCAAGTATCTCTTGGTTATAACACTTTCAACAGGATAAAATACAACTAGATAACTTTTTCTAGAACAAAAATTGAAGTAAAACTTTCCTAATCAGCAGCTTGCTATTAAATCTAGAATAAAATCACCTTAAGAAAAGATTGAGTAAGAGTCTTTGTGAAGTCAGCTAAAAATCTGAGTAATAGGGGTGGGGCAGAGAAAACTCTCACAGCATTGTGATATGGTGGAAATGCCAGATGAGGTTGCAGGGTATTCTCTGAGGACTTCAGAATCATAAAAAATGCCAAACAGTATTTTTCAATATTGTTGCTTTTGAGCGCTGATGTTGCTGTGCCTAGGGATGCGAGAGAATTTGTACAGCTCCCAAGAAAGCTGGTGAAGACAAAGAACTATGGAACGGAACCAAGAAGCAATTTTCTAGGGTCAGCATCACACAGCAAAGGAGACTCTGACCCTGAAATCAACCTGTGGCCACATGAACACCCCAGACCACGCCCTAATCTAACTGTCCAACTTTTCCTCCTTAGTGCTCACCAAATATCAACCACTCTTTAATTGCTTATTTGGAAGATTTTTCTAAAAGTCTTCCTTTGTAGATCCCTAAATTTATTCACAATTCATAAATTTAAAAACACCTAGAAAAATATTTTTTAAAAAAATGTCCTGCATTCAGTCACCAAATATAATAGTAGCAAAAGCTACCATGAACTGATGTGAATATATTTGTGGCCATTATTTATTCAACATAGAGTGAATATTAACACATTTTCCTTTAGAAGCATAGCTGATGGAATACAGAGCAATGACTCAAGGGTTGTAGGGCCTTTTGAAGTATGAAACATTTTGAATTCCAAGAGTTTTAGATGAACAGTTGTAAAAATGTACAATCATTCTTTCAGTTTTTTGAAGCTCAGTATCAAAACAGTCTGCCATATGTGGTTTAATCTTTCACTATTCCTAATGTACTTTTGTACCAGGTTCAAAATGTAATTGCTGTATAACAAATGCCTGTTCAGTGCTAAAAATACTTCATCAGTGTACTTCATCTCTATAGTAGTTGTTAATAAGGTCTGTGGGCTTTTCCAGTTATTTTAAACAATGTATTTAATGTACTTGGAGGTTGCTCTGATTATGAATTGTCATATATTACATATAATAATCTTTGTGACCATATAAACTTTCAGAAAGATGTTAAAAAATAACAAAAATCATTCACAATACTAGGGATGAGAGATTATATAATCTCTGATTGACTCTTTTTAATTAGTCAGCATATATTTATAAACTAGGATGTTATTGTATATTCACATGTATATCTTATTTATTTACTTGTTATTATTTATTATTCTCTGTTAAATCATGAATTATGTTAGATTTTACTTCTTCTAGGAAGCTTTCCTTTGTCCTTTAAAATTGGCAGACTGCCATTCTTGTATCTGCTGTTTGTTGTATGTGCACTTCAACTTGTCATACTTTATTCAGTTAATTGATTTATTCTTCCCATCACCAGAGTGTAAATTCCTAGATAGTTGACCCAGTTTATGCTAAATTTAATCCTTAACACCTAATTCAGTTCTTATCAAATACCATTTTTTCACTGTGTAAATGTCTAATATTCGCCCTTGTCATTCTGACATGTTTTACTACACATAATTCCATTGAGTTTCTTCCATTTTACTGTAAATAGTGTCATTTCATTTTTATGGCTGAATTACATAGTGTGGATGTGCATTTTCCTCATCCAAACTTCTATCAAAGGACATTTCAGTTGTCTTGATGTCCTAGCTGCTATAAATAGTGCTGCAACAAACACGGTAGAATATATAGATTTTAGAGTTGATGGTTTCATGTTCTTTGAATAAATTCCCAGGAATGAATTGCTGGGTCATGTAGTATTTCTATTTATTTTAATTTTAATTTTAATTTTAATTTTAATTTTATTTTAATTTTAATTTTTAATTTTTAATTTTAATTTTAATTTTATTTTTAATTTTAATTTTTGAATAGTATGTGTAAGCCAGATTTTGGAGTACCTAGAAAAGCCTTGAAAAGTAAATTCTGGAAACACTGCTGAGAAAACTTATCCTCTGGAACAAACATCTACCACGATGAATTAAAATTTAAGAATGGATATTTGAAACCATGAGCAAGACCACTCCTGTCTCCCTGCTGCTCCCCTTAGCAGTTTATTTCAATTATTAAATTTCACCCACTCTGTCTCTGGTGAATCCTCTCACAGCCCCCCTGCACTTCTGGCCTACACTCCAGTTCTTATATGCATAAGTAAATAAAAATAAATCTTTTTTTCCTTCATTTTTGCACAATGCATTTTGTATTTTCATTTTGATTATATTCCCCATACAATTCCACCCCCCTTATTTTGACTCAAATCACTCCTCCCCCTGCCCCCAACTGTAGTATGTCTCTGGTTTATAGTTCCTTATTGATTTTGATTTTTTCTTTATTATAATTAGTCTTTTTCCTGGACCAGGAAAAAAAACCCAAATAAAAATAAATCTTAAAAAAAACTGAAATCCTTTGGTGATAGGGAGGCATTGTTATTTCTAAAACAAATACATTTCTTTTACTCCTCTTTCTCCCATCTAACTCTTTGGCAGAATCCAGTTTTCATATAGTTCTTCCAGTAATACTTTGCTGACACTATCCTGCTCCAAGTAGAATAAATTTATATCAGAAATATGTTAACTTTTACAGGAAATGCATTTGCCTTGGACAGAATAATGCCTCCCCTACGCAACCAATATTTCACCATCCTAATCCCAGAAGTTTGTGAATATTACTTTACAGGGAAAGCATAATTTGTAGATGCAGTTCAAGTATTGATTTCTACAACTTAATTCCAACAATCACTAGTCTTTGATTATTTAAAAGGTAGTTTGCCTCTTCCAAGTTGTAAATCTCAGGGATACTATGTCTAAATGTCTTGTTTTATATCCCTATTGCTTAAAGCACATGTGGACAAAGAAGGCCTCAGTAAATATTTATAGGTCAATTTGTGAATTCGTGAGTGACCTTCATGAAACAAAAATACTACTCATTTCCTAAGCTCTAAATCTTGAAAATCTGCTCTCACAGGTCTGTAATCCTGCTGTGTCGCTCACCTCATGTCAGAGCACACCCTCACTCTCTCAGCCAGCACATTTCCTGCTGCCACAATCGCGTCAAGCTCAAGGACAAGCTGCAGCATCCACCAGAAATTTACTATCTGCTTTGCTAAATACTGGAGTAATTACCTACCCTATTACTTCTCCCTGCTTACATTCATTCTTGTACTACTGTTGCTTATTTTACATATCGCTGGGAATGTCCTGCCTTTAAGCCTTTTCATATCCCACTCCATCACACCTTTCAGAATGTTGCTCCGCCCCTGTGTTGTTCTCTACCCTGCCTTGACCAGCTAGGGAGCAACAGCAACAAAACAATCAATCCTTCAAATAGTTTCCTAAACATGCTGTCCCCTCTCACCTCTGCCTCAGCTTTGCACATGCTGCTCCTTTAGACTATAGCACAGTTTTTCCTCTTTTCTCTTATAATCTTTGATGGCTTATTCCTGTATGTCCCTCAAAGCTGGCTACTGTGTCAACTCAGAGATACCTGTCTTGATACTCTTTTCCCCAGCTGAAGGAGGATATCTCTTTTTTGCCCCTTCATCAACATTTGGTTTCTTTGAGCAACACAGTTAACATGTGATTGTATAATAAACCATACCAAAGTTCAGTATCTTAAAAACATTTATTTTGCTTACAAATCTATAATTTAGGTTCCATGCAGAGTAGGATCGTTTCACTGGAAAGCAGTGGGAGAGCATGGAAGGAAGAGGGCTGTAATAATTCAGACTTGTTCACTCATTTTCTGTGGTTCTAGTTAAGATTGAGACTTTCGCTGGACCCACCGGCTGGGGCACCTACATGCAGTCTCTCCACATGGTCTGGTTTCCCCTCAGTGTGGTGGCTGGGTTTAAAGAGTATGCATTGAGTGGAGTGGATTGTGGTATAGATGGATATAGATACAGACATAGAAAAAAGGGAGAGACAAAGAATAAGCAGCAGGACACCAATGAAAATTTATCAGCTTTTCTGACCTAGTCTTGGATGTCTTACACATTCAGACATTGTTGAATGTTGTTGAATGTCCACAACATTGAAATCATTGAAGCAACTACAAAGTCTTATCCAGTTACAAGGGGAGAAGAAATAGACTTCACTCTTGATGGAGCAAAGGCAAATTTCTCCTCCATCAAGAGGAATAAGAGTGAAAAAATTTGTGGGATTTGAAATATTTCTCTGACCATTTTTGGAAAATATGATTTGCTACATCACATTCCCTAACACCAGAGTGAGAATCCTATGAAATCTGTGACTTTCTGCTCAACCCGCATGTATTTGTTGAATATATAAGCAACATTCTTCTCCACATCATGTATATTTGATATTATAGAAGATAGAGGTGTGAGGGTACACTTAATAAAATAGCGCCTTAAAAACTAGACCAACTAACAACAGAAAGCACGGGTCACTCGATCCCGGATCTGTTTGGTCTTGACACTATAGACAATGGGGTTCATCAGAGGAGGCACGAGAAGATACACAAAGCCCATGATCACCTGGACAAGATGAGGTGCGTGCTTCCCAAAGCGGTGGATCACGGACAAGCCAATCATGGGGGTGTAGAAGAGGATGACGGCGCAGATGTGGGAGACACAGGTGTTAAGAGCTTTGAGTCTCTCGGTCCTGGATGCAATGGAGAGCACCGCATGCAGGATCATCACATAGGAGAAAAGAATGAGCAGTGAGTCTAAACCCACCGTGGAAATAATGACAAACATGCCATAGATGCTGTTGGCTTTGATGTCTGCACAGGCTAATTTCATTACTTCCTGGTGGAGACAATAGGAATGAGAAAGCACTGGGGAACGACAGTAGGGGAATCTTTTGAGCATGAAGGGCAGTGGGAAAATGAGTGCTACGCTACGGCCCAGAGAAGCCAGGCCCATCCTGCCAACGACAGTGTTGGTGAGAATGGACGCATAGTGCAAAGGGCGACAAATGGCCACAAAGCGGTCAAAAGCCATTGACAGTAGCACAGAGGACTCCAGAAAGGATAAACAATGAATGAAAAAGAGTTGTGTAAAACAGGCATCATGACCAATATCTCGTGCCCCAATCCAAAAGATGCCCAGCACTGTAGGGAGGGTACAAAGAGACAGCCCCAGGTCAGTCAGCGCCAGCATGGACAGGAAGAGGTACATAGGCTCATGGAGAGAGGGCTCCGTTTTAATGATAAAGAGAATTGTGCAGTTGCCCACAATGGACACCAGGTACATAAGGCACAAGGGGATGGAAATCCAGATGTGCAAGTGCTCCAGCCCGGGAATGCCACTCAGCAGGAAGCTGGAGGAAATTCTGCTGCTATTTTCTGGAAATTCCAATTTCATTGTGAGCCGAGAGAAAGGGGAGTTGGATTCCCTCCAAATTTCTGAAATGAATCAAGGAAACCTGATGGTAGTACCTGGAAAGAAATTAAAAATAAAAAGGTTAGAATCAGCTAAACCTAAAATGTGTAGCTCCAGCAGAGATCATTTTATTTTCCTAGTTCCTGATTTCTTCTCCATATTTTTTAGAGATTGTTTTTGTCTTATAGTTTTGAAAAGAAAATGAAGATGTGGAATTGTGAAGGGACTTGCTCAGGCTATGTGACTTCCAAGAGCGAAAATGTGTGAGTTGGATATTGTATGTAAACGCCTCTGCCTTTTTCAGTCTGCACTGAACTCTTTGGAACTATAGCAACCAGCTCTCTCACCCTATGGAGATTTTGTTAGGTTCAGTCAGTGAGAAACAGCTAAGAGATGTAAGGGCATGGGAGACTGAAGAGTTGAGGCTCATGCCGGGTGGCTCTGTGAGCTGACACTGCTTGTGTTCTATGACTGAAGACCACAGCTTTTATTGGGAATCTTTCTACTAGAACAACATTTCTTGGTACCTGTAATTGCTCTCCTTGCTCTTCAGGCTAATTGGTGATACATCTTCCATAGTTCTATTAGTTATACTTAACTTCTCCTGTCCTAATTAATCAAACATTCTCATGGTTCTTTTCTGCCAGGACCTTTACTGACATTCCAAACTTTCTTTTGGCTTATTTTCCCTCTCTTACTTTATTTTCTTTGCTATTTCTTTTACTTTCTTCCACCTCCGTTTCTTTCTCTCTCTCTCTCTCTCTCAATCTCTTTCTCTCTCTCTTTTTAATGTCACTAACAACATGTAAACCCTATTCTTAATATACAGACTAATCCTCCATTCTCCTTTTCCTCTTATCTTCTTGCTATAGACACCTAGTCTGATGCTGGTAACTTGTAATTACTCTTCAGCTCATATAACTTCAGAGAGAACAGGAGTCTGCATAAAGGGATGTCTATAAAGTTATTCTTGACCACCAGTGTAAGATATCAAAGTCCTGATTCTCAAATACATCAAAAACTATTCCCCAGAAATGCAGGAATTCAACTGCTTTGAACTGAGGTGGCAGGAAGCACCCTCAACCATAGGCACCACCACAGGCATATTCATGTGCCCCACCACAGGCACATTCATGAGAGCCTACAAACAAAAAACTATGATATAGTCCTCCATCTTGTATAGAGGGAGAAATAAAGGCTCAGGAGGGGACATGGGCAGAGGCCATGTGTTGATGTAGGTCTCCTGATTCTAAGTCAGTGATCTCCTACTCCCAGTTAATAATCTGAGCAGAGGGCCTCCCCGGTGGCGCAGCGGTTGAGCACTGGGTTGCGAAGCTGCCCGCAGCCTTTGCGGCGCCGGTTCAATCCCCGGCTGCTCCCCGGCCACCAGAGGAGGGTCTCGCATGGCGCGCAGACCTCTCCTGCCGCCTGCTGCTCCCCTCAGCAGTGTACTTCGGTCCTTCTGCCTGCTCTGCTCCCCGCTCTGGCTCTGGTGAATTCTCTCACCCTCCCGCGCTTCTGACTGTACCCAGTGCTTATATAAATAAATAAAAATAAATCTTTAAAAAAAATTAAAAAAATAATAATCTGAGCAGAATGGGGTTTGCTTTGTTTACTTCTGTGAGGGAGAGCTTACAGTGCAAACTGGCATGCAGTAGGCACTCAGTATCTTTTTATGCATGAACAAGAATTTTTATTTACTTAGCTAGTTTTCATTTGGTACATAGCTTATCTCCTTTAAAAATCCTTTGACTAAAGATCTATGAATAGCAACATGTTATTGATGAAGAAACAGGTATGGAGAAATTTAACATTTCTAAATGTTAAATGTCAAAGTGTTAGTAAATGGTAAAAATTAAAAGCAAGCTATGATTTTGCTCTAGATTCCAGGCTCTAAACAACCATTTCACTTAATGATCCCAATAGATGATAATCCACTGTCAGCTAGCAACAGTTAACATAAAATTATAAGCTTAATAAGCCTTCAAAAGAAGTGCAGACTCTAGCTGGACTGATAGATTTCCTGGAGAAATACACACAACGATATGCATAGACATTTTCTTTCTTACTCCAAATATCAGTAAAATTCAGAGCTGGTATCACTAACTCACACCTACGTGAAGGTGGGATGGACTTTCATGCTATGTCCCTTAGCCTCTGCTTTGGCCATTATCAGTGGTCACCACATGTTCATCAAAGCAAACTCTGGTAGAAAATATTTTTGAAATGACACAGAAATAGAGTGGTGAAGAAGAACTATAATTCCTGATGGACTTCTACTATTTGCCAGGAACTGTACCAGGAACATTGTAAATGTAATAGCATTTAGACCTTAGAAAAGTCTTGTAAGGTAGTCTTATTATCTCAATTTGCCAAACAGAAGATTGGAGAATTTGCCTACGGTTATAAAACCAGTCAGTGGCAGAACCTACAATGCAAACTTAGGTCTTTGGAGCTCCAAAAGCATATTCTGTAAATTTGGAAATATTTAGGTTAACAGACAGTTTTTAAAGTTGAGACAGTGTGAAATGGATTTGCTTTTCGGAAATAAGTTCTGATTCTGCTAACCATGTGTCTGAGGCCAAGGTTTAGATACTGAACCATTCTAACTGAGCACATCTCATTTCCTGCACCTTAACTTACTTGCCTAACTTTCCTCTCTCCTTGGGACTAAGCAGTATCTTACTGTTGCTGTCATACTTGAGACAGCTGTCTGGACAGGAAGCCAAGGAAGTAAACAGATGTTAGAAAATTGTTGTCTCTTTTCTTTGTGCTAAAAGTAGGTTGGTCATCCCAACCTAACAAGATCTGCCCAAGCAGACTCCACTTTCAGCGGGCACCTTTTACTGTCCTTCCTTTGTCTCAAAATACCTTTTCTCTGTTCAGAACTCAGCTTGCACCTTATGCAACTTCCCGTTACCATCACAATTCAGCCCCAAACACCTGCCCCCTAGATCCACTCTTCACACACCAACGTTAAGATGCAGAAGGTCCAGGGAAGAAGGAAGGTGAAAACTAGAGGCTTTGAATGGAGAGACTGGAGGGAGGATGGTAAACGCCCTGATTTTTATGCAACGGACTGAGGTCCCCTCTGAGATGTTTTTAAGACTCTTTAATCAATTCTCTACCAGGACCGCCTCCCTGGGGATAAGGAAAAGCAAACAGAGTGCTCATATGAGAAGTCTAGATGGGATCCCAGAGGCTGCCATGAACTAGTAGCTACAGTGAAGAATCTGGCGAAGGTTTTGGAAATCCCATAACTCCAAGATAGCAGAGTACATGTTGATAATGTCTGTATGATGCATCCTATTGTATAGTTTATGTACATTGGATGTGACCATGTAGTCTATATAACCATATGTAACACTAAAAAGTACTTTTTAAGCATTGTAGATGTTCCCCAAATGATTAAAAATGGATCTGCCACATGACACAGCAATTCTACCCCAGGTATCCTCCCAAAGGACACAAAACCATGAATTTGAATGGAAACCTGCTCTCCTATATTTATTGCAACACACAATTTGAAGAATTTTCTCTTGGTCCTCTTGTTCTGAGAATAACCCAGTCATAAAGGAATCAGATGTGCCATGGTAAGGCAGTTCCTAGAGTCAGAAGGACTAGACAAGTAGCGTCATCTCATGTGGGGGCCACCTAGTAACTTATCTTCTTAATGAAGGAACGTAGATTTGGTATCTGGGAATGGAATCTACAAACTCACTAGTTTCAGTTCTGCTGAAAGGACTCCTGTGTATTTCATGGAGAGGTGAAGGTGGGAAGAAATAAAGGATATCAGTCTCCCTAGGAACAGAGAGACTGTGGTATTTCTCCCTTTTACAGTGCTTAGATTCAATGAAAGTTTACATACAAGTGGAGATGTAACTGTAGCACAGGAGACGGGAAGTGTGTTTAAGAAAGAGCCTGCTCCCGAGGGCTTTAAGAAGTGCAGAAGATCTATCTGGAGTTAAAATTCACAATCTATGCATCACAATGCTTTTATTTTTTGTCATTAACATTGGATTCAGGGAAACTGAATTATCATATTTTGTTGGCAGGAATATAACATAGCATATATACCTGGAAAAGAGTTTGGTTACTTTCTTACAAAAGTAATTCCCTGGGTAATAATTTCACTCTTGGGCATTTACCTCAGATAATTAAGACTTATGTTCACACAAAAACTTAAATGAATGTTCATGTAATAACCTCAAACTGGAATTAGTTAAGGTGTACTTCATAAGGTGAAGGGTTAAATAAACAACACTATGTACATAACATGGAATATTACTCAACAATAAAAAAGAACAATCTACTGAATACAACAACAGCTTGGGTGAATTCAAGGGAATTATACTGAATGAGAAATCCAATTATATACTATATAATTCCACTGATAAAACATTCTACTTATAATAAAACATCCCACTTATAAAACACCTTTTAAGAGGCAAACTTTTAGAAATGGAGGGCAAATTAGTGGTTACCATTGTTTAGGTACCAAGGATGCAAGAGGTTGGAGAGTGGTAGATTATAAAAGGACAGTAAAATGTATAGTTTTGGTGTTGGAATTATGCTTCAGTATTTTGGATAAAACAAGTCTGCACAGGTTAAAAATTGTATGAGACCTACAGACAAATAAACAAATGCAAACAAATGAGTGTAAATGAAAGTGGAGAAACTGAATGAGATTTGTGGATTATATCAATTTTTTAAAAATATTTATTTATTTTTGTGCAAGAGCTGAAGTACAGGCCAGAGGCGAGGGAGGGTGAGAGGATTCACTAGAGACAGAGCAGGGAGCAGAACAGGCAGGCAACCGAAACACATTGCTGAGAGGTCTGCCGCACAATGTGGGAGTCTCCCTGGCTGGCGGGGAATCGAACCCAACTGCAGAGGCTGCGGACAGCTTCACAGTGCTGTGCTCAACCTGCTAAGCCACTGGGAGTCCCTGGATTATATCATTTTGGTTGTGATAGTATACCATTTTTTTATTATCATTCAGGCAAACTGGAAAAAATATGCATGTTAATCTATAATTACCTCATGTGAGTTTAAATTTAAATGTATTTTTATAGAGACTACTGACACAATTAGTCTTTCTTTATAAATTTTTTCTAAGGGCCTCCCTGGTTGCCTAGGGTTTAAGTCTCAATGCTTATTCATCAGTTTGTCATTGACTTATTCTACCATATTACATTTTTTTCAATTCTTGATGTAATCATGTGCGTTTGTATGTAGGTTGTTTGATATGGCTGGACACAGCTATGAGGGAAACATATTACAAAATCAAAATGTGGATGCCTTTCTCCCACCCTTTCATCCCAGCAATGAAGAGAATAACTACAGGAAGACCCTTGACTAGTTACTCAGATAGTGAGTGACTACCCATAGCATCATTATCTCTTTTGAGAAGTGAAAATTGTTTTTGTTGTTGTCCAATTGTCCATTTGGATATCTTCTCTAAAACTCCCTGAGCATCAAAAAAATAAAAAATTACCGAAATGATTTCATAAACTCAAACTTCTTAATGATCCGCTGGCGAATTTGCTTGGTCTTGATGCTGTAGACAATAGGGTTCATGAGCGGTGGCACCAGCAGATACACATAAGACATGAGGAGGTGTACAATGCGAGGCAGGTGCTCACCAAAGCGATGCACAAGAGACAGGCCGATCATGGGGATGTAGAAAAGGAGCACAGCACAGATGTGGGAGACACAGGTGTTGAGGGCCCGAAGTCGCTCCTGGCGGGATGCAATGCTTAACACAGTGCGGAGGATGAGAGCATAGGAGAGGAAGATGAGCAGCGAGTCCACGCCGACGGTGCAAGCCACAACGAAGAGTCCATAGATGTGGTTGACAATGATGCTAGAGCAGGCCAGCTTCATGATCTCGAGGTGCAGGCAGTAGGCATGGGCCAGCACGTGGGTGCGGCAGTAATGAAAGCGCTTAAGGAGGAAGGGCAGTGGAAGGATGAGCAGGGCGCTTCTGAGCACCGAGCCCACACCCATCTTGACAATACGTGCAGGTGTCAAGACCGTGGAGTAACGCAGCGGGTTGCAGATGGCCACATAGCGGTCAATAGACATGGACAAGAGGATGGAAGACTCCACTAGAGACAGAGTATGGATGAAGAAGAGTTGAGTGAAGCAGGCAGGGATGCCTATCTCTCTGGCATCAAACCAGAAGATGCCCAATACAGTGGGCAGTGTTGAAAGGCAAAGACCCAAGTCTGTGAGGGCCAACATGGCTAAGAAATAGTACATGGGCTCGTGGAGGGTGGCATCAGTACGGATGACATGGAGGATGGTAACATTTCCTACAATGACTGTCAAGTAGATGGAGCAGAAGGGGATAGAGATCCAGCCGTGGATATCTTCCAGACCCCGAAAGCCCGTCAGGAAGAAAGTGGCTTTATCCAGGCTGCTATTGTAAAATATGGTCATGGCTTTATAAGCTTGGCTTCAGCAACCTGCAATATAGAATGGGATTCCTAGAGTACCAGGCTAAGTTCTCACTCACTTGGGTGCCCTGGGGACCAGTGAGTCAGGAAGGATCTGCAGAAAAAATGGGAGAGAATTGAGGTACCTGATCTTTTAGCATCTCTTGAAGGATCTAGAAAAGGAACTTTTATAAGGAATTTCTAGAGACCATGGATATCATATAACTTATCCATTTGGTGACATTTCCTCCATTGTTGGACTCTTAGAGGTTTACTGAGATCACCTCAGAGGGTACCTCTTTCATTTCTTCCTCTCTAAAAAACAATCTCCAGTTCAATCACGAAAACATTTAAAATTTGTATCATATTCATGGGGAAAGTATCCTTTGGAGCTTAGTTCTAAGAGACAGCAGGAGAGACGTGTGTTTCTGACAACAGGGAGGTTAAGAGATAGTGAGGAGCAGGCATCAGAGATGAAGTGGAAATAGCAAAGAGAAAGCTGAAATGGCTCAGAAAGGTCTCTAATATTTAGCTTATAAATCTATTTTTTTCTATGACCTTTTATTTTAAAAATAAGTATGGCACTCTTTAAAGACATCAATTTCTGAAGTAAACTACAACTGAAACAGAGTTGTCATAATTTCTTTTCATTTTAAAAATATAAGTAACAATAATGAATAAGAGGAAGTTCCTCAATGGAGGTGTTGTTGCATTTGAGAGTAACCTCAGTGGAGATTTTTCTATATTATAGGGAGTGAAATGCTGAAAATTATTTCTCAATTTTAACTGGATTCCGTTATATTTTATTTATTTATTTATTTTGATTTTGATTTTGATTTTTTTATTTTTTACATCACTATTCATTTTTAAACAATATTTGCTCCCCTCGCCCTTATTTAGCTTATAAATCTTAAGACACTTAGAGTGAAATATGCCTCAGGACAGACTGACATCATTCTGAAAAGCTTAGCATACTTAATAGTTATTGAATGTTATGTTCCTATCACCTTTCTAAGTGTTCAATATATTTACATCATTTAGCTCTTAGGCAGTCCTATGAAAGAAATTCTATTCTAAGGAACACATTGCAGGTGAGACAACTGTGACACAAAGAAGTGAAGTGAACTGGGTAAGTTTTTAAAGCAAGTAGGGTTTGAGTATGGAATTCAAACCCTCACAGTATCCTACAGCGTCTACACTGCTCTCAGCCTTCACGCCTCCTCACAGGATTGTAACTTTTACAAAAGTCAGATAATCTGAAAATTAATTAATTAATTAAAAACTCAATTGTGATTTTTCTACGTAGCGTGGTGCATCTGTAGCTAGCCATTCCTATTATAAACATCATTAGATGAGCCAAGATATGTAACAATAGTTGGAAAATATGCTGGAGGAACTGAGCTCTGTCTGGGACATGCTGAGTGCAAACTTTAAAGGGAATTCTTGGAGACAGTTGTCTACAGGATTTTGTATGTAGTGATCTTTGGTTTGAGTGAGGCCTTGCATTATAGAGTGTCTTCCACGAACATGGAGAAAAATGCCAGCACTTATAGCATGAAAAGGAAAGAAAGGGACTTCCAATGGTAGTTTCAGTTCAGACCACTGAGAACTATTTTAAGTGAGGGTAGCATATAACATTAGAGCTAGAAGAGAGAGACAAAAAATGGAGAGTGAGACAAACAGGGTGAAAGCAGTAGTGTATAATAGCACCAATGTTACAAAACACTGTCTACTACAAAAAAGAAAAAGAGGTAGAAAGTGTGTTTTAAAATGGCCAAAGGACACAAAAACATTAATTCTAAAGGACACCTGCACCCCTATGTTTATTGCAGCACTATTTATAATAGGTAAGGCTTGGAAACAACCCAAGCCCAAAAAGAGACGACTAGATCAAAAAGATGTGGTACATATACACAATAGAATAATATTCAGCAAAAAAAGGAAGATATTGTTGCCATTCACAGCAACATGGATGGAGCTAGAAGGGATTATGCTCAGTGAAATAAGCCAGAAGGAAAGAGAAAAATATCAGATGGTTTCACTTATAGGAGGAATATAGGGAACAAAATAAAGGATCAGGGAAAAAATAACAACAATCTAAAAAAACACAACGAAACTAAGCAAAAATAATCAGACAACTATAAATCAGAGACACTGCAGGGGAGGAGGATGGAGAGGGATCAAAATGAGGGTGGAAAGAGCACAAGGGACTAAGGTGATGGTGCACTTGTGAATTGCTGGTGGAAATTTTATGGGGAATACACCTGATGTAAAATATATACAAATGAAGAAATTAATTATAAGAACAAAATGGCATTGTACTCATAATGATGAGATCGACACTGATTTTCCAGAGAACAGGGGCTTAAATTACCAGTGGGTAGGGAGGGATAAATAAAAAGTCTACATTATTTGTAATTTTCCTCTAAGATAGATACATAGGATGTGTGAAAAAGAGACCTTAAGGAAGACAAATGAGACTTGAGACTATTATTTTAAAAGTCTTTTTCTTCTTCATTAAGGTAGAGGGACATTGAAGATCTGAGGGAGGATAAAGACAGAAGAAAAGTTCATTCCAGATTTGTCATTCACACTTCAAAAAAAGCAAAAATAAGACAATGCAGTACTTAATATAACAATATAGCCTTGTGGTTTTATGAGTGTAACTGAGAAACAAGGAAAAGATATAAAAAGGGACAGCTGGGAAGAAAAAAATTAAAGGGGGAAGCAGAGACTTGGAGATAAAATGAGCTATGAAGAAAAAAAGTGAATAGAATTTGGACAGCAGGCTGTGGGGGGCATAGACAGCAAAGCAATCTCCCTCTGACACTGAGAACTGTGATTGAGAGGGAAAATGGTAACATAAGTTTTTTTTTTTTAAAAAACAATAAAGAAGGAAAAAGTTCTTATTGGTTAAGTGGAGAAGCAAACAAGAGTTTAAACATATGTGTTACTTTTCAGACAGCAGACTCAACGGTCATGTCAGTTTTCATCCAGCTCACGCTGATTCATTTCAGAGTTTGTGAAAGGGAGGACACATTTAGCAGTCATCTATTTCACTCTTGTGTCTCCAGACAGAGAAGAGAAGGACCATGCTGCCTGCTTAGTAAGAAGTTGCATCTATGCTATGCCATCTCAGTTATTATTGCCCCTTTCAAATGAAGTCCTTGCATATTATATTTTGGGTATAGGAAAGAGGCAAGTGTGTGCTAGGCAACAAAGATCACAATGAATTATAACTAGCGCTGGAGAGATGGAGTTACTGTATCTCTAGAACATTGCAACCCTGGCACAGATTAGGAAACTAATACAATTTGTTGAATGAATGCATGAACGAATAGATAAGGGGAGAGGTGAAATGTATTACGTATTAAATAGAACAATGTTTCGTGCAGTCATTTTACATTTTGTTCTCAAAGGCGCTTATATCCAGATTAATAGCTCAGAGAAGTATCAGCTGAACCCTCCACTAGACTCCAGTCTCACACTCTTGATCCTCCCTTCAAAGGGCTCTAACTTACTGGGAAAAAGGGATATCCTATATGGTCGATGGCAGAAATAAAGGAGAGATGGGTGGAGCAGTGATTTCAATGACAGCCTGACTGCCTCTGACTTTATTCCTCATGTAGTTGGCCACAAAGGTGTTTAAGATGAGCAATATGGATTGGTGACACTCTACAAAATTACTCTCAAGGACAATAAATAACCTTTTATTAGTATAAAGTTTGATTGTTACAATGCACTGTCAAACCCATTTTAATATTTCTTATAATACAATCTTAAGGTAAGGAAGTTAAAGACTATAATTTCAATTTGAAAGATGAAGAAATGAATCTCTAAATGATGAGAAAAGAAATGAGATCCAGCAAGGATTCTGCTGAGTGATTAAATGACTTACAAAATCACCCCTAGTGACACAGTTATGACCATCTATATTAGACCATCTATCTCTAATGCATCTGCCACTCAAAACTTTCTCAAATAATTTCATGTGGGGATTTAGCAAGTAATGAAGACTGGGAAACTGTGTGGCCCAGTTACCTCTGCGTCCCTGGCTAGTCCCTGTGATTCTTTTGTAATACATACCTGAGAACCAGTGGCTAGAATGGAAAGGTCTTGGAAGACATATTTTCTGTATAAGCTCAGAAAGGACGGTAGCTCAGCTAAAGAATATTCCCTGCCTTAGACACCGGGTCTTTTTGAAGAGCCCAGAAGCTTCTCTCTAGGGGCCTCTATTGAGATCGAGATTCCCCACAGAGTTCTCCAGGCTCTTGGCTGAAGATAGAGGTCATGGCGGACGGTGGAATCCCTGAGCATTGAGAAAAAAACAAGCGTAAAGGAGGGAAAATCCGTCCTGCATGTCGGCTGGATGTTAGGTTGTTTCTAGTTATGGATTTTGTTTTCTGAATTGGGATAAATAAGATCTAGTTAGACCTGGAGAATGATCTGGCAGGAGAGAAAATTTTGACAGATTCCGATCACAGGTCAATTGATTCTAACATCTGATACTTACTTTTGGCTATGTAACCTAAGTCAAATTACTTAGTCTCTCATAAATAGTTGTTCTTTTTATCTTAAAAAGGGTACCTCTCCTCTCTCGCGCACCTTTTTAAAATTTTTTTAAACACACACTCTGGTACTATCATGCATTCTCCTGTTGTAGAGTCAATTGCTAGTGTATTTTGGTTTGAGTTTAGGAAGAAAGAAGGTCTCTTTGACCTCAGTCTTAAATTATAGGTATCTTTATATTGAGTATTCTTTGTGTTTTCTCTCCAGTACACTAATGGCATAGGTCATAATTCAGAAACTTGCACTCCAATGCCTGTGGAATACCTTTAAGTAGTTCACCAACCCACTGAGGGCTCCAGGACTCTCCTTTATCCATCTGTCCTAATTGAAAGAGAAACTTCAGAATTGAGTGTGGATTCATAATGTTAATTCGTATTAGAAGTAGTTTTAAATTCAGAGAACTTTCAGTGTGGGTCTACTTAGAGCTTATGTATC